CTAGCTGATAGCTGATAAGCTAGTTTTATAATATATTAGTAATTTTTTAGCGTATAGCTTATAGTTTATGACTTATAGCTGAAAAGTTGGCTTATATGATAAAAGTGTGGTAAAATTAGTTGATAAGCTACCTGGAATAAATAATTCAAGTAACTTATTTGAAAAGCTATCTAAAGAAGCTTATCAAATAAGCTTGAGCTTTAAAAAAAAGCTCTTCCTACCAAACGAGACTTATTTGAATACATGGAACTTATAAGCTAACAAAATAAACTATAAACAAACTTATTTGTCCACCAAACATAACAACTACACTACATAAAAGTTACACTATAATACCTTTTCAATAAACTATAATACCTTTTCAATAAATAGTTATACGGAAACTAAATATCACATGTTTATCTGAAATTATGATGAATCGAAATACAAAATTTTGTGTTTTTAAAAATATAATTAATCATAATTTCTATTTTCTTTTCAAACACGGTTAATTCATCATATCACACACATTTCCATTTCTTGCTCGAAAATTACTATTGTTGTTATATGAAATTTAACAACCACACTACAATGTAATTAAAGCAAAGGAAATTAGGACTTTATATTATTTATGTATTTTTGTTGAGTACAGGACGTCGGTACAAGTGTAAATCGAGTTGATATCTCTTGTTTATAGTAAGTAAAAGTTGTTTTCCAAAAGCCTTCCCCCATTCTACAATAACAGTCTGCTATTTATAGTTGGGTATGCTTTGACTTATGATACGAAGTAGATAGGATTACATTTAATGAGTAATGCCTTTTGAAGCGGTCTGACATTTGTTGGGGGAACATCAATGATTGCATTTTGTTCACGATCCAATCAGAAATACGCTTAGTCACCTGCTTTGGAGTTTGGTCAAGTCGGTCACCGTTCATAAGTTGAGAGCTCGGGAATCTCCGAGAAGTCGGTTGTTGATGGCTCTTCCAAAAAGTCGGTTTGATCGTCTGGTTCGAACCGAGGTGTATTATTTTCTGAAATGATTTGTGTTTGTCGTAAGAATATATTTTATATGATAATCTTGATTATCCTCGTCTTAAGTCACGGCCCAAGTCAGTTATCGACAACTATATTTCTAAAGAAAAAATTCCCAAAGCTTGAAACTCAAAGTTGTTAAGAAGAAACACACAAAAAAACCTATCATTTTCCATTGCAAACCCTCTTTAATTCTAAGTCGGATTATCTATCGGTATCATTGACCAAGACACTTTGAAATGATGAAAAGATATAATAAATAAATAATATTTACAAGTAAAGGAAACTTTTATTAGATCACAAATCACGTCCTTTGACAACTAACGAATAGCCCACATTATTAGATCCTTAATCTTACTATATAATAAAAATGTAAGGATTAGTTACATCTGTCACTTTTTTAACTTTCTTAATTAATTAATTAATTTAATTTAATAAAAATGTACTATATAATAAAAAAGTCAATAAATTTGCAGTCTTTTTCTCATCTTCACCTGCTCCATCAAAACGATTCAATGGAAAAGAAAAATCACCGTCTTTTTTATTATTTCAAAAAAATCACCAACCAAGAGGCAAGATAAGAACCTCTCTGAAAACCCATTTCACAGGGTGAAGAAGAG